CACACACACACACACACACGATGTGTTAACATACATAGACCAAGACTGAGAATTAAATTACATAAAGAGAATTAAATTACAATTAACATTATCCAAGACATCCACTCACCATAGTGTCCAGTAGATCCAGAGAGTTTTTACTGTACTGTCTGAACTTGTGATCCATCCATTGGCAGCTCAGTGAGGAGGCTGCACTGCACACACTGAGAAACAGGCACACAAAGAAAATCCCGTTGAGCATTTTTACAGAGCTACAAGTGGCCTCTGTGTAGAGCGAATTCAGGTGTCTCCTGGTGTTGTGTTGGAGCAGACCTGCAGCGCCTCATTTATAACAGGAGCCATGGACGCACCTGTTTCATTTTCCTGACACCTGGGGGAAAACACGCGAACCGTGGCTTTCACGGGTTCAAACATCAAATCAATCGCTACATATATGTGTAATGACACACATTTCGGATTTCAAGGAGTATCCTAATGGAACATTTGTCCAAACATTTGTTATGTTACACAAAAAGAAAAACTGAAACCCGCAGTTTTAAAAGTCTCCACCATAAGAACCTACTGCATGCCACGTTAAATTTAAAACAATTCAATAAAGCATGAAAACACCCAGCTCGCTGATCAACATCACACGGAAATGTTTGCAATAGTTACCAAACAAACAAAAAGACTAACAAAAAACGAACAAACACAAACATAACGGAGCAACCAAACATCATTCTGAAATGTATGGACCCGATAAGAGTTTAATTGCGACTATTTTATCATTGATTTCAGATATTAAATGTCTTAAATGATGTGTTTTCTACTTTTAAAGTTCAAGGCACATACACACAGTAATACTAATAATACAAAATAATAAAATAATCCAGTTATCACGTCCCTGCCAGTCTGCACTTTGTCTAATAGCGTGTTAAAAATAACAGAAGTCATGAACTCTATCGTTAGCATCAGGCTATTAGGTGGTTTAATACCATATATAATTAAAACTATAAAACTGTACCAGTGATCGCAGTGTACATACCAAACACAGCACCCGAGGAAAGTACAGATGAAAATGAAAGTGACTTGTGTTACGTGACGGCGACGCGCGTTCACGCGGCTTCATTTCCTGCAGTGGGAATCACGGCACAGGTTTTCGAACAATGACCACACGTGGATGGTATTTCATTCATCTTCACCATCTTAAACAAATGCAATAATCAGGAACATGTAGCCGAACGTTTTAAAAAGCAAAAATACATGGCTTAGGGAAATGGCCCCTGGTGTTTCATATCGGTAGATAATTTTAAATTAGAGGTACGTTTGAAATATCATGTAACCTGTGGAGCTTCAGCTAATTATTCTTTTCACTATAAACTGATCTGCTGATTATTTTCTCAATTAATTGATTACTTGTAAAATATTTTTAATGCCAGACACATTTACCAAGACCCAAATTGACTCCTTTAAATAACTTTTTTGTTCAATATTTAAACCTTAAAATTACTGAGTTCGCTATAACTTAAAACACAGACAGGTTCTTTACTTTTGAGAAGATTTATCATTTTCGCGTGAAATCACTGTTCATATAGTTTTAACTTCTATCACTTAATCAATAAATCAGCTCTATCTGCGTATAATTTATAACAGTGTATCATATCTTTAAAGCAAAAGTGCAGGTATTAGTCTACCTGTGAGTTTTACTGGAGTAGAAGGCATACCTGTAATCTATAATGGTAGCGTCCCATGTGGAGCCAGGAACCTATGGATTAGCCGCAAATCTGTGTGTTTCCTGACTTTAGCTAGAAAATCAGTGGTGGAAGGTACCATAATGCATGTATTGTAATACATTATTGCACTCCCATTAATCCAAAGATATAAAATACACTAGTACTTCACTTCAGGAGTCATGTTACTGCAGATCCAATACTTTTACTTTGATACTTTGCATTACCTCTGTGTACTTATACTTAGGTGGGATTATGAATAGGGGGCTTTTACTTGAAATGGGGTATTTTTATATTCTGACTTTTATTAATACCTTTCCTTTATATGAAATTTGAATACTTCTTCCACCACTGCTAATTTAGCTGTTTTATACTGGTGACAACCACTTGCCAGGATAATTAAACCTTCATGTGACTTTAAAAAATGTGTTTGGTACCTTGAAACACTTGATTAAGTGTTCTTTATGCAGCCTATAATTTTCTGAAACAAACTAACAACCTGTGGGTTATTATTAATCAGCTAACCTATTCTTAATCATCCCGCCTTTCTACAATAATTTCGAAGTGCATGGGTAATGGGATGGGGTTACTACAGGGTTGACCAAGATTGGAGTGTGTTAATAAATCTTTTATTGGGCTGTGTTGTCAGCCTGACAAGAAACGTCTCAGGCTGCACAACAAGCACATAAAGTCCCCACCTTCAGAAAATGAAGCAACAACATCAGGGCGCCTCAACAACTGTGCTGCCTTTATGTGTTACCCGTAAACTATATTTACCACTCTAGTACCAGTGTTAATGGCAAACACACCTAGTAACAGCCTTTTTATGTATATGTTGTTACATATGAAAAAGTACAGGTCTCTGGCAAAATAACAAAAGAGTAAGTAAAATAAATGTTTAATGTTGTTGTACGTCTTGTAGCGTTACATTCAACTTCTCCCGTAGTTCTGTGAGAGCCTGAAGGCATCACAAGTCTAGTCGAGTTCCCATGATGCCCTTGTGTTCTTATGTTCAGCAGAACGGTTGTGAGGGCAGAGCGGTCTATCTCTCTTAGAAACATATCTTAGTTAATGATCTTGTTTGGTTTTTTTCGTGCATTGTAAGAGAAGTGGTGGAATGCAACTGTACGGATTGAAATTGCAACAATTTACAGAGGATGCGTGTTTTTGGACCGTAATGGCAAGTTAGCCCACCCTTTTAGGTAAGGAGGCTAGCGCATAGATGCTAGCTGTGTGCTGTTGCTAGTTAACTTTCGTTGCTTTTACTGCTAACTTATACCAGGTTCATGTTAATTATCGGGTTTACTTCTGTTTCAACACTGTAACTGCTACGTAAGTTACGGTTTACACAGCTTGATTGTGTTTTCTGTGTTCTAATAAAAAGTTTATTCTATTTTATCTGTCAAGTTAGAGAGCCCCCACACGCCCGAGTCAGAGGCTAACATTAGAACGGGCAACTCTGGGATTTGTTGCTTGGAATTGTAGGAATTAGGAAAAAGTTTAGTCCACCACTTGGTAGTTTTGAACTGTCAAAATATGCTAACAAGCTGGTTGTAACGCCTTCCTTGCCTACCGATTGTTTAAGTTGGCATAGCTTGGTATTAAAAGTATGTAGGGCTGTGTGGCACTGAGGTTAACACAACCTTTAGTCACCTGTAACATTCACTGGGATAGTTCACTTTAAATGCCATTATAGCCATGTAAATGTCTTTATCTCCACTAGCAGTGCATATTGGCCGCAGTTAAATCACAATTTAATACTCGTTTTTTGGAGGAAGTTGGTTCTGAAGCCACTTCCCTGCAGACACCGTCTTAATCATTTCTCACATGACTCGCAAAGTGGTCACCATGAAATTGCAGACATGCCTCACACTACAGTCTTGTCATGGAAAATGTAACGGAAGCACAAACATGGTGCTAACATAAAGTGAGGAAGAAAGGAAGAACACTTCCATATCACATGCTTTGTGTGTTTGCCTGGGAACATGATCATTACTTGTTTATCCATCTTAAAGCTACATTATGTAACTTAAGATGGCTCAAGTACGAAACTGCAAATCAATCCACCCAGCGTTCCCTCTCCGTGCTCCACTGTGCTCTACTACTAGTACTGTGATCTGCCCAGCTCTTCAGATAGTTGTCATTATGAAATTACAATAAGTGAGAAAGCAACAAAACTCACTGATCAAGTAGAAATAATTGAAAATCCCTGATTTGGTCAGTGTTCAATCCTTTTTAGAAGCTAATATCTCTGTAGTGCTGCTCAGTCACACATAGTAGGTTTCAACAGCACCTCTCCACCTTAAGACAAGTTATGAAGCAGATTTCTAAAGCAAAAGTAGTTGAAAAAGTCACAAACTGTGGCTTTAAATGGCATTTTAACAGGGAAGTGGGGCCTATTACAAGCAAGTGTTAAGGGTTACCGCTTGAGAAGCCTGTTACATTTTGCAAAAGTTAAAGGAATAGTTGTTGCCTTTGTTTTTCAGTGTGCCATGTAGGTGTAAGCCTTCCCAGGAGGTGCCATGCTAGCAACAGAGATGCCAGATATGCCACCTGAGACTAAAGATGTCAAACAGGTAAATCTGCTCCCAGTGTGCAAATATTTTTAGTTTCCGTTCTGTGGTTTGTTTTTTGTTTTACTATTACTGCCATACCTCTGCTGAGGGTGTCAGAGATTGACTTTATTGGCTTGGGAGTGGATTTATTTCTTGATGTAGTTAAGGTTGTGAAACCGAAGTAGTAAATGTTGTAATTTTACTGTTGTAACTACACTTAACAGTGTTCAACATTACACCACTTTCAACACTGGATTTGTTCATCTACTGTGTTTACCTGCCTGTGAATCTTATTTAAGTTTTGTTTGAACAGACCTAGCACACAGTCTGATGCTTTTAAAGAGATCAGACCATAATCAAAGGGAAAACAGTAGCAGGTCATCTTATCTAATCAAAGTGAGGACAAGGCATGAATGCATTAGATAAGAGTTTTCAGTATGTACTGTATGCGTGAGTGTTTTTACTATAATGTGTTTAGGGTTGCAGAATTTTTATCATTCAGTTGATTTGCTGATTACCCATTTTGCCTGTAAAATGTCTAAAAGTAGTGACAATTGCTTGTTGCAGTTTCCCACAGTCCAAAGTGACATCCTCAGATGTCTTGTCTGCCCTGTAGTTCAGAACCCAAACATAAACAGTTTACCGTCATGTATGACAAAGAAAAGCATCAAACTCTCAGATTTGAGAAGGTGAAAACAACAAAGGTTTTTGCTAAGACAATGACTAAAAACATTAATAATTGTTGATTTTTTGTTTTGTTTTGTTCTACTGACTAATCAGTTAATCAACTAATTGCAAATTTTATATGTATTAAACAGCACAGATTTGCTAACAGTATACAGTGCACTGCTGACTTTTCATTTAATGTATGTGAGGAAGCTAAGAGAGCAGGGAGGACCTTTTCACTGTTCAGTGTTGCTGAAAAATGTGTTTATTTTTCCTGCAACCTACTGTAGAATGTAGACTTACTTGTTATATCCTTATGTCTTGTGTTTCCATGTCCTGACAGTAGGTGTCACAGGACAGTAAACGGCCACTGACCTCACCCTCTGTTCTTCATCACACTGTACACGAGAATGCAGAGCATATTCTGGTTTATAGTCTTTACTGTAAAATGCAAATGCATCATATATGGTTGTGAGCAGTGAATTTATTGTTAGTTTGCCAACCTGTTTCTCATCAGAACTCCACCATTTGGCCTCTTTCCAAACAATCAAGAAGCTCATTATGTTGCCATTGTCACATAGATCAAAGAGAAGCTGGTGCAGTCGCTTAAGGCCCTGCAGAAGCGATACGTAACGTCAGATGCAGTGGTAACCAGTGAAGATGGTGATGCTAACCTGCTATGCTGTGCCCTGGAAGCCATCTTTATCCACGGTATCAAAAGCAAGTACATCCGCTCAGAGACTGGGGGCCGGTCTAGGAAGGGAGACCGGGGAACCCTCCCCCAGCCTTTCTTCTGGACCCTCCTTAAGACCGTTACCCACCGGTAGGTCATGTACAAATCGTATTACTCAAAAACCTCATCTTCAGTATGATGATTTTAGTATCAGGGCCATTTCCAAGTTAAATGAAGTATTAAGTGTCTCTCTGTGTGTTAAACATCACCATACTCTTTGTGAAATTCCCAGTGATGTGATAACAGAGCTAGAGAAGATCAGCTTTGTGGGCACGGATGTGGGTCGTTGCCGAGCGTGGCTGCGGCTGGCCCTCAACCATGGCCTCCTGGAGTGCTACCTGACGTCTCTGTTTCGGGAGGACTCCACACTGCAGGCTCACTATCAGCCCAGCGCCTTGCTCCTCAACCTTGAGGAGCGTGAGGTTCTGCTCAGCTACCTCCAGGGGCTGGCCACAATTACGTTCAACCTGTCTTACAAGTCGTCTGTCCTCAACGAATGGACAACCACACCCTTGGCTCTTGCTGGACTTTGCCCCATCTCCCAGGCAGATGCACTCGACCTGCCCCTCAATGGCGGAGACCATCCTAAGTCCATGCGTAAGGACTCGTGGGACACAGAGTCTCAGGCGTCAGCTTCATCAGATACGTTGGATAATCAGAGAGGGTGTCCAGTGTTATCGATTGGGAGGGGATCAAGTACTTTACAAGGGGATGGGACTGCACTCAACTCATCTAATTTAAGCCTGGACACCACCAGCTCCTCTCAGCTCTCCTACAGTTTGAGCTCTGACAGCCTCTTGCAGGGGCAGGACCACCGCAGCCCGACAGGAGAGCAGTGGTCTTCCTGTGACCTGGACATGCCCGTTAATGTGAGCATGAAGAGGCCACAGAAAGAGTAAGTGTATGTGCCAGGATACACAACAAATCCCATGAACAGACCAAACCCCTCAATGAATTGATCCTACAAACAAGTTTTGTCTGTGTATCCAGACTCTGCTTTATCTTATTCCTCTGAGCTGTAGATGTCCTGTTCTTGTTAGAAACACATCAGTTTGCTCTGGGTGACACACTGCTTCATTACAGTCACCACATGCTCTGTAGTTTGTTTTGAGTTAATCCTGTATACTCTGTCCTGCCTCTGTAAATACTCACCACTGAGCACATGGACTGCAATGTGATAAGTGTTCATGTTTGTCTAACAGTTGCTATAAACTGCTGCAATGTTTTTAAAAATAAGCTGTGTTTTAATACAGTTGTGGTTCTGACAGGGTTGGTATTATTGTTAAGTTTACAGTGGATTTAATCATAGAAACTGGCAGTAATAATGAGCTCCATTTGATGCTAAGCTTGCAGTAAAATGTACAGTGTATCACGATTTTTCCTTGTCTCTTCAGTTTGTTGACTGAATTTCGGGAGAGCAGCCACTGCAGCCAGGACTCCATGCGTGAAGACTCCTTTGTCTCCAGCTCAGGTCCTGATCAGTTCTCAGAGACAGCTGTTTTCAGTGGCTCTGACAGCGAGACCCAGGGTCCCACTGCATCATCACAAGAACCCGTGGACCAACCTCCAAACTTTGTCCCGTCTGATTCAGAGTCACCGCTAGGAGCCTGTGAGCTACCATCGTCTGATGAGAGCCATGTTAACCACTTGCCTTCTGAAGTGAGTGATGAAACCTCTAATGAGCTACACTTGGACCCAGACATTCACTCCACAGTCAGTGAGCCAGTGGAGAAAGTCGAGCAAGTCGAGCCAGTGGCGTCTGTGGAGGAAGTACAGACGGCCCATGTTCAGGAGAGCAGTGAAACTGTCCAGGAAGAGAAAGAAGCAGAGACCTCAGAGAAGAACAACTCGGAGCCTTCAACACATCACAGTGTTCATCGCTCTGCCAGCATCCTGAGCAGGAAGCGGTCTTCAGATTCTCTATCAGTAAGTGCATCTGCAGACAAACAGCTCTTAGTTGAAAATGGCTCACAGATGTGGTTTAACCAGGCCTCTGACGATTTTCATGTTGTCTTTGAGCCACTTGGTTGCCTCTTTAGTTTTCACACATTTCTGTTTCTTATAAATCCATTATGCATTCATATCACCTTGAAGGGTATTCACAGATTCACTCAGTTAGAGGAACAGTTTGAGGCTCTACTCGACAGGTCCAACATGAATCCTCACTTCACTTGGCAGGAACGTGTCTTACAAAGTAAAAACATTTTGCAGCAAAGCAAAAATATAATCGAAAGGAACATCCAAACATATGTAATCAAAATAAACGTAATCCAAGTAAAAGTATTGTAAAAGTCTTGGATTACCTCCTTCCTTCAGTAAGTGCTGACTAATTAGCATTTACATCTGATTTCTAGATTACAATTCAAGGATGGGCACTTTAACAATGACCTACAGCAGCAAAGCAAGTGACTCAAACTTGAATTTGAAAATATACTGGTCATATACTAAGTAAAAATGATTCACAATCAGTTGTTGAGGATTTGGGGGAAGTTCAGTATTGCCTTTACCCCAAATAGTAACTCGGGGTTTCCCACTGAGGAAGTGACAAATGTCTGGAAGTTGGTGGATCAAGGTGGAAAATCCACACCGGCTTTTAAATAATTCATGGAAAAATTGTGGGTTCTAGCTGTTATTTATTTATTTTTCCGGTCTTCAAGCTGCTCAAGAAATATGATGATTAGCTACAAAAGACCTGCTTAATCTTTCCTACTGCAATAATGGAGACAGTCTGAATACAGTTGTCTAGTGGATTAAGAAATAAAACTGCAACTGTGGCAAAATACGCAGCTTCCTCTACTGTAGAAATGAAAACCTTTGTCCTAGTTTTGCTGTGCACATGATTTCCAAGCTCCAGAATATTTTACAAATATACAGTATGACTGACCTAATGTTGTTACTGCACGGTCATTCCAGTGAGTCAGGTTTGTGACAAATTTGTGCTTATATTTAAAAGAGAGGGAACCTTTTGCCTGAAGACACATAATGACAGGACCCGCTCATTCACAAACTACTCGCTGGATAGACTCAGCTGTTAACTGTTTTGTTACCTTTATTTGCTCCTATTGACAAGTAATCCTGATTTAAAATCCTTTTATTTTTCATGCAATCAAGCATTTTATTTCCCTGTGCTAAATGAAGCATCCTCTGTTGCTTTTTTATACAGCATTCTCGTTCCTGGATCTCTGAGGATGACATCTACAAACCCCATCTGGAGGAGGTGTCAGACCTCGAGGAGGTATCTCCTCCTGCTCCCATGCCTGAGGCTGAGGTCGTGCAGTCACCTCCCAGTGTTGTCCATCGCAGACAAATAGGTGTTCTACTGTCTCTGTGTCTTACTGTAAATGAAAGCATGCAGTTAAGAGACTACATGACATTTATGTTTAACAATCAAGTTCAAGTGTAAATTGAATACATAGGGCAGGGAATTTCTGCAGCGCTATGGAATAAAACCGAAAGTATTCTGGCCTCACCCAAAATCGATGTCACAGCAAGTGTTTTGTTATCAGCGGTCAAATGGAAAAACACCTGTTATCATTGCATCATATATTTGGGTGTGACCAGATTGCACTGTAATGTAATAGAAACGTTTCTTGCACCTGAATGGGTCAGGCAGCTTTTTAAGAGGTGAAAGGAAATCTGTTGCTGCAGAATTCCCTTGCGAAATCCACAGAGAGAAGAGACGTAACAGGAAACTTCACACAGTGCATTACTGCAGGACGCTGTATGCCAGGAGTAGCTACTGCATAATCTTACTACATCAACAGAACGTGTAGTGTAACCATTTCACAGGTCTATAAGACGTTAGCTTTTCATTTATTCACCTTCTGAGGCAGAAGGAGAAAATTTGCCAGCATCTTCAGTTCCCTAAGAAGTTTTAATTTGCAGTTCAAGAGTGAAGCAAAACTGAATGATTTAGTTTCAGTAATGTGGGACAAGGTTATTTAAAAGCAATATATTTGTAGGTGTAGATTCTGTGCTCAATACTGATATAAACAGTGATTTAAATGGTTCCTTTTAGTACGTCTGCTTCACAGAATTATGATAAGCTTATCGTTTTACTGCTGTTTCCTGTAAAGATTGTATGTATATATGAAATAAGCTATGCTGACTCTCTCCTTTCACCTTCCGTTATGTCTTCATCTGTCTGTCAGGGCTGTCCAACCCGTTTCGTGGCTTGCTGAAACTCGGTCACCTGGATCGACGAGGTGCGATGGGAATGTGGCGTGACTACTACTGCGAACTGTCACCCTTCGAGTTCCGCCTGTACCTCAATGCAGAGGAGCGGACGTGCTGTGACAACTGCTCCCTGATGCGATGTGAGGACGTTCGCATCACCTCACCTGAAGGTCGCTTTGAGTTGGCCTTTCCTGGGAAGCGACTGTACCTCCGTGCAGCCAATCATGATGAAGCTGAAGACTGGGTGGACCGGGTAGTTGAGGCCGTCAACAAATGTCGGCCAGTATCTCGTGTTGATGAGCAGTGGGAGGTGCTGGAACCCCCCAGTGAGAATGGTGTGGATGAACGCACATTTTCATCCCCGTCCTCCGCACCCTCCAGCCCTGAGCGAGGCTTGTTCTCTGACACAGGGACATGTGGAGGCCAGGAGGCACCTTCACCTCTAGAGGAGTTTGACTGGACTCGGACGGCTGATTTAGAAACAGACGCCATCAAAGAAGCTGTTTTGTACTTCTCCACGGATCCCGAAGCTCGGACTTGGGTACCTCTTGTCTTCTCTCTCTCCTTGGAGGCTTTGAGGGGCTTCAGGGTACAAGCAGGGAGAAAGTTGCTGCGGCTCACCCACCCCATTGAGGAAATCCGGGATGTGGTTCCTGATGTCTCTCTTGGAGGACCAGCCTTTTTCAAACTCCTGACCGTGAGGGAGACTCTTCGACTCAGGGCGGAGAACGCCGAGGAGGCTCGCTCTTGGAGGTATTTGATCCGTGGAGCTCTGGACTCGTACCTGGAGAGCGGGGAGGAAGGGAGCTCTGAGGAGCCGGCTGTTGTGCACCTGGGGGTGACGGGGAATCTCCACAAACTGGTACAGCACAGACTAAAAGAGGATGGAGCACTTCTGGCTCATCTGTGCACTGTGCCTTCAGAGAAGGGACTGGACACTCAAAGTTTCAGATGTGCAGGTAATATTTAGTTAAAGTCCCCATTTTGCTTATTTCCAGCCATTTAATGTTTAATCTTGGCTACCTCTAGATTAGCTCGGCACCCCTCATAACTCCAAATAGTTTGTAATTGTGTCAGAATCAGAGCCAAAAAGCCTCTTCCTTAAAATGAGGAGACAGTTTGTGAATGCGTAACACTCCAAACAAAGCGGGTAATTGAGAAAGCCCATATTTTAAGTGGCGTAATGCAGACTATGAGCTTTAGGTCATGTTTAAGATGAGAATCCACCGTTGTGACATTGTAGTAAGTCAGAAAACAAGGAAAAGCCTGCCATGGACTCTTTAACTAAAGGTGGGGACACACATTGTGGTTGTGGAGATGATTATAAATATTGCAAAAAAAAAATTTTAATCAGTTTTTGCAAGAATCTATGTATATATGAGATGTGTTTGTTGTGTCTGTGTAGGGTGTCCTCAGCAAATTGGTCCATCCCTAGGCAGAGCCAGGTTATGTGAGTTCTCAGGCAAGTACTACTGTGACTCCTGCCACCAGGGAGACACAACCATCATCCCATCACGCATGGTGCACAACTGGGACCTCACACAACGAGAGGTAGGAGCAGCACATATAGAACTTTTACTACGTACTGCATTTTATTAACCTATCAGGTCTTAAGGAGTACTACTGCATATGAGAAACAGTTGTATAAAGCCTTCTGTGGCTCCAGAGTGATACTCTTTAAAGGGTGAAACCACTACAGGCAAGTTAGAGTTGCTAGATTGTGACAAGTTTGGTGTGCCCCCCCCCGTTTGTTCTCAGTAACACTGACTGTCTCAGTAATCACACACAGCTGATCTGCATATGCATGTGTGTGTGTCTGTCCAGGTATCTAAGAAGGCCCTGCGGCTGCTGGCTCAGGTAGAGCAGGAGCCTCTGCTGAATGTGGAGCAGTTGAACCCTGAGTTAGTGAAGCACGCCGAGTCCATGGCTCAGGCCCACAACCTGCGGCAGAGGCTGCGCCTGCTAGGCGACTACCTGCTCACCTGTCGCAGCGGAGCTGGCAAGAAACTCCAAGCCAGGTGTGTGTACTTTGTACAATACAGGGTATCTGTAGGTCTTAAATCTTAAAAGGCATCAAATTCAGTTTCCTTGTAAAACGTGTTTTTAGACAGGATTTAAAATCACTGTCAACATCGTACACCTATGAAATAACAGTGGGAGTGTTGCGACGGTGGATTGTGCTGCTGAGTTTCAGTCAGCTCCATCAGTCCTGTAGTAAACACCGTCACTACTTCTAACTTGACCGTGTTGTTTCTACTTCTGTCCTTTAACTTGTATGATTGTAAAACGGGTATTAAGTTGTGTTCTTGCATTAACTCAGTGAACCCTGTAGAAACCCTGTTAGATTGTGCTATATTTCATTGCTACATTGCACTGTGTATTTTTTAATTCTCTCTCCAGAATGGAGCAGCGACCGTACCTGTTGGAGTCGAGCCATATGTACAGTGTCATGGACCTACGACAGGTATCCTGCTGGCTCCATTACGTTGTTATTGCACCACACATTTTGCCCATGCCACAATGACTGTTTACTTTTTTCTCAGTTTTGTTTTTTACATTCTTGAACTAAAAAATGAGCGCCTTAATATTCAATTCAGTTTTATTTGTGTAGCACCAAATCATAATAAAAGTCGTCTCAAGACACTTTACAAAGTAAGATCTAGATCTTACTAGTAGAACTCAGAGCATCATGGACCCCCCAGCAGCCTAGGCCTATAGAAGCATAACTAAGGGAAGGCTCAGGGTCACCTGATCCACCCTAACTATAAGCTTTATCACAAAGGAAAGTCTTAAGTCTAATCTTAAAGGTAGAGAGGGTGTCCGCCTCCCGAACTGAGACTGGGAGTTGGTTCCATAGGAGCGGAGCTTGATAGCTAAAGGCTCTGCCTCCCATTCTGCTTCTGTGGACTCTAGAAACCACAAGTAAACCTACACTGTGAGAGTGAAGTGCTCTGTTAGGATGATAAGGCTCTACGAGGTCTTTAAGATACGATGGAGCCTTGTCATTAAGGGCTTTGTATGTTAGGAGAAGGATTTTAAATTCTGTTCTGGATTTTACAGGGAGCCAGTGGAGAGAAGCTAATATGGGAGAGATATGATCTCTCTTGCTAGTTCCTGTCAGTACTTTGGCTGCAGCATTTTGGATTTGAAGAAAGATGAATTTTTAATATCAGTTTGTTTCTTTTCAGTTTAAAAATCAACAAAATATGAATTTTCCAAGCAACACTGCGTGTGTTGTGTCTTTTTCCAGATAGCAGAGGGCCAGTATGCAACCTACCTGATCACTCTGTTGAAGTACGCCTCCAACCACGTGTTTCACTGTGACTTGTGCACTCAGCGGGGCTTCATTTGCCAGATATGCCACGCAGATGACACCATCTTCCCCTTCCAGTTTGATCACACCACCAGGTATGTTATCCTGGGCCACCTCCTTCCTGCTTTCATTTCCTTTTACCTCCTCTCACCTCATTTGTTCATCTTCACATCTGCTTTTTCCCCATTTTCAAAATGTGTTGTAGAGTTTATATATTTATTCATTGTCTTCACATTCACTTTACCATTATTTTAAATGCTTATTTTATGTCACTGACCCAGGTGTAAAGACTGTAAAGCTGTGTTTCACCTGGCTTGTAAGACTCCTGGGAACTCATGTCCTCGCTGCCAGCGAATGAAGAAATACCTGGAGAGGAATCTGCAGGACTGAGCGCTGCCAGGAGGGCGGCACTGTGTAGCTCGTCACACAGGAAGCTCGGAGAAGCTAGAAGCTTTTACATGAGGTAACCTCCAGTGCAATTATGTGGAAGGTGCAAGAACCACAGCGCTACGGAAGCTAGACTCTTGCATTAATTTTGAGGCACGCTGAGTGTCGCGATGCTCACATAATGCAGCCAAATATTACTGACCAGTGACTTTAATACCTCTGTGAATTCTGATTCAGCCACTGCATCAAAAGGAGGACAGGACAACAGTGAAGGTTGCTGCCAAAAATCCTATTTATCACATTTTTTGTGGGTTTTTACTTTGTTGCATCAAAAACAACATTGTTTACCAGAAATGCTCTGCAGTACTTTCTGCATTTGTCTCAAAAGCTCAAAGCAAGTCACGTATTTAAACATATTACAGGGGCGAGGGCAGATACTGAACATGTAGCATAATGGGAACAGCGTTCAAAATGTTCTAATTAACAGATTTTAATTGTGCCTTTTATTGTTTACACTTTACACTGCTTTTCTCTTGGTGTGGCCAAAAAGTGCCACATAGGCTGTATTTTATATTGCCAGTACAATATACTGAAATTATATTTCTGCATTAGAGACCGATTTTGTGTAAATGTTTACATTTACACAAAATCGGTGTAAATGATTTTTAAATCAGTCACTAAGAAGACTTTGTGGAATGTTTCTCTAAGCATATTACCTCAAGATTTTTAAAACACAAATACATACATTCATATATATGTGATTTAAGAAACGGCTCCATGGTTTAAAATGTTCAGACTGGAGGAAAAACATTGCGGAGATGATTCATGAAGTTGATGTAGTAAATCAGTCATAAGTGTGTGGCATAAAACATTTTGTAAATTAAATTTTTTGGGGGGGGTTCTTGGGTTTCACATTGATTCTGAGGTCAAAACATTTTGCATATTTGCACATAGCTGTGACTGTTAAATGGATATTTCTACTACAGTTCAGCTGTAATATCCTCCAGCACATGAAATGACCCCCTAAGCTAGTAAACAGACCTGTGTTTCTGACATGTATATTTCCTGTTTTGCTCAGTTTTATTTTCAGTTCTTGGAGAATTACATCTCTGAAGATGGGCTGATTCTTCAGAATCAGCGGAGAACAACAGTAGCTTTTTTTTTTTTTTTTTATTCATTTTGATATATGCATAACATCACTAGCAAGTGGCAGGAGCAGCATACTGCAGTACTGTTGTTTTTTATATTTTTTTTAATTTTCATCTTATTTGTGTATAATGTATACAAACGTTGACTATTATGAAATAAATGTCAGTGTTGAATTCTGAGCAAAAGAGCAAAATTATTGATCATTAGTCAGAATTGTATGTGACATTTTGTTGTATTAGTGCTCTTCTTGCCCTCATGCTGTTTGCCAGTAAGCTCTTTGCATGCTAATTTGCTTAGCAGGCTATATGCTTTGTCAAGATTAGTGGATGATTTAGGATCATAGCAGCTATCAGGCCAGCAGGGCTGGCTGGCTACAGCAGCCTGAGCAGCGTAGATATAAGGCAGGGTCAAGCTGCTGACTATCTGCTTTGTGCTTTGGTGAGGGTAGGACTTAAAGGCAATGTAAAGGTATGTTAGGTCAGAGTCAGAGAATGATGTCAGTACATTTATGACGACACAGCCTGATACCCGCTGCGAGACCTTGTGATAGGCCAGAACATTTAGCATAAATACTGGGCATCCACAGGATACAACAACCTCTTGCACATTTTTATCTGTTTTTATAACTGCACGTACAAACTTTAAAATCCATTTCCTCAACTATAACAAGCAGTCATTAGTGCAGTCGGAGCTACATCCACTAATCTGACAGGGTAATTGTAAAAAGAAATGAGACAAGCTAAAGAGAGTGCGAGTTCTGTGTTGTGCTCAAATTTTAACAGATTTTAGTATTTTAGACCGAGATAGCAGCTCTAGCATGATTTAACATTTAAAACAAGCTGAAATTTCAGTTTTAAATTTTATTATAAAATACTTTAAAGGTGTATTAAGACCAGACAGTGATGTGATTGATATTTCATCAGCACATTTTACTAAAGATATTTTGATGTTACAGTTGTTTAAATAATAAAATCAATCAACATTTAGATGCTTCGGTTTCAGGGCCCTGGTATCAGATCAAGCTAATATCTCTCAAAGTTAGAGGGAGAGATTTTTACACTTAAAACTAACTTTGGAATATATTATTTTATTGGTGTAAGTCATTATCTGGACTTTTACACAGACTGTAGATGTTGTGCCTCATCATCTACATTCAAATCATGACAGGAAGTTGAACATGAGCATCATTTTAAAATGTGAGCATATCCTGTGATGTCAGTGGTTTTCCAGCTCTGACAAGTGCAAAGGTCTGACAAAGGCCTATAGCTGAAGAACATGCTGAGACTGTTGTCATGTGACTGTTGTCACACTGACACAGGTGCAACTAATCAACTAATCACATGAGGAGCCAGCAAGAAGGAAATGCAGCGACTAATGTCAACGTCGATGTAACTAACTACACCTGTGTTCACTCTAACCTGGTTGTTAATGCAGAGCCTGATCACTTGATTTGGTGAAAACAGACAATTAAAAGTAGTCAAAACAAGTGAACAACTGATTATAAGGAAATCAATAAGTAATAATTTGAATGTCACATCCAAATAATAAATAATACTTTAAATTAGATACTGGCCTATAAAGATGTGTCCAACCTTAATGAGTTTTAGCGGTTCTCCCTCAGTGAACTGGGATGAACTTGTACATCAACAGGGAAACATGCAAATGGGAGGAGTAAAGCAGAGCAAGCCTGAAAAACGCGTTTTCGCCAAGCGCCCTGCTCAGTCGGCTCTGGTCTCCGCAGCCGGAGCCGCAGGTCGGGTCTCTGTTGGTGTTAGTGTCCCCGACTCTGGGGCTCTGTGGGGCTCTGTTGCTGCTAGTGTCGTCTCTGTGGGTCTCTGTTGCTGCTAGTGTCCCCGACTCTGGGTCTCTGTGGGTCTCTGTTGCTGCTAGTGTCCCCGACTCTGGGTCTCTGTTGGTGCTAGTGTCCCCGACTCTGGCAACCGTTTGACTGTTTTCTATTGAGTGGCGATTCTTAGCGACGGGGTCAGAGTCCGGGTTTAGGATGGATGCTGCTGCAGAGAGAGGAGTGAGCCGGCTGGAGAGGAGCAGCCACACCGCGTTCATAACCAGCAACACGCTGTATGTGTGGGGGGGCTACCAGGTGAGAAACTGTACCTGTACAGGTGTAGCTGAGAAGAGCACGTCGCGTGACTAAACAAGCTTTTTGAAGTCTCAGTTGCTGCTTTGTCTGGAATCATTCCTCATATTTATTACACAATAGCATACTGAATATTTTAGTGCTTTGTCTTTTGTAATTAAATGCATCTCAGTTGCTGGTTTATTAAGCAGGCGACCAGAACTGATGGAGTGTAAAGCAACAGCAACGGTTTTACAGAGGAGCTGATTCAACTTTATGGTCATTTTGGAGGCGCAGGTTGTGATGCTGTTGAATTGTATTGCTTTATAATGAAAGGTGTATTTTGTCTACCCTAATTTATGGATGTAAGGTGGGCAAAGTATAGAAGCCACCTCTTTATATAATAAACATAAATCACCAGTCACTCTAGCCTTCAAACTAACCGAAAAGAAACTAAATCAGAACCTCTCTAAACTAGTTTAGATTATGACTTGACAGAGCTGTTGTATTAGACTGCATTAGTTTTATGTATCTGAAACCTCAAAAATGATTTGGACAGCACAGCTCCATCCTTCTATGAAACCTAATGGCAGGAACATGTTTCAACAAGAAAATGTTCCTCAGACCATATCAGTGGCATCCTGACTGTTGCTATAGGAGCAATATTCACATGCAGCTTGTACAAGGTCAGATAACATGAAACAATACATACAAACAGGCACCTTATTGTCCGAGTTCAATGTGTGGTCAGTTTTGTCCCACAAATGCAGCCACTTTGCATCTACAAGGGTTTTTATTTTTTATTTTTTTTCTGTGGAGACTGTTTTCATACATGGCTTTATCTCTTTGTTCCCTCACAGGTGGTTGCTGGAGAGGATGTCATGTTGCCCAGTGATGAGATATGGCTCTGTGATTTAGACAGCGGGACCTGGTGAGATGGAAGGAAGTCTGTTTATCAGCCGAGACTAAAACGGTGTCACCTTGACATATAAACTATGGCTCTAGGCCTAAAGGCAGTTTTGTGTGTGTGATAAAATTACTTCTTTAAATGGTATAAACAAGATAAAATGACTACACAGATTTGATAAAGAGCAAAGATTACACTTTAAGTGAGTTTTTTTCTCCTTTGAAAGAATGAACATCGAATTTTAAGGTCTTCAATATCTTTGTGTTTAGTGAACCTAAAGCCTCTGCTTGCTGTGCCTGAGTTTACATGTTTATTATTTGCAAGTGTTAAGCTTGTTCTTTCTCATCACCTTTCTTCTTTATTTGTGTGTTTTGGCTTATCAGGGAGAGGAGGGAGATCGCCGGAGACATCCCCCCAGACTTATCAGGCTCCTGTGGCTCTTGCGTTAATGGAACACTCTACATCTTTGCAGGATGTGACCCAATTGGATACAACAATCAGGTGAGCAACCACAAGCTTGACCACATCACGTTCAAGTCCCAGAGCTTGGCACCATTTTTCTGATGGATGGAAAACTATGTGTTGTTAAACACAGCGAGCTTTAATCTGGTGCCATCATTTAATTTCTACAATACTGTGGTTTATGCCTGACTAGTTGGTACTGTGCTGGAGAATGTTGGCATGCTAGCACATTAAATTAAGGTGTGGAACATTATAACTGCTAAACATCAACATGTTGACATTGTCACTGTGAGCATGTCTGCTTCTGTGCCTCAGCCTCACATGGTCAAATATCTGAATTTATTTCTTTTGTTTGCAGATGTTCAGCGTTGACCTATCAGAGCAGCGCTACTTGTGGAAGAAAGTGACCGACACCAAGGGAACGACGCCGTCACCGCGTAACAAACACACCTGTTGGGTCCACAGAGACAGGTTGGTTCAGTCCCAGCACACACACACACACACTGCCTGTAAACAACAGCTTAACACAATACAAAGGCCTACAAATTTGCTGCTGTTCATGCCCTCAGTACTCAAGGCTTTTCACTGAAGAACTGGTCATTTTACATGTTAATTACACATTCACAAAAGTAGCTTTACATTTTGTAATGTAAGAAAACAGCTGAAGTATCTGGGAGGGCTGGTGTTTTCACAGGCTTGAATAAGAAAAATGAAGTGGGGGGGGGGACTTTACTTGCAGCGGTTTTCTATTTAATTCGCTCTGTCTTCCGTTTATGTGTAGCTTCACTTCATATGTGAATTGGTGTTTGTTTCTTGGTGCAGATTAATCTACTTTGGTGGATATGGATGTAAGACCATTGGGGAGGTACAAAACACATCCTCATCGAGCTTTGTCATGGAAGAGATGTCCTGGGTAAATATAATAGCATGGCAGCTGCATATCTAATGAGTATTGTATGAAACAGAGACTTTGATCAAAACCTCATGTCCTACTTGTTTGGCTGTAATCTCTTCTTTTTGACCCCTGTTGTCTTTTTTTTTTGTGTGATTAAGCATCAGTCCTGTTTAATCATTAAATTTATATAATATTATTTGAAATCAACAATTAAGTTCTTTACAAGAATCAATTCTAAAACAATAAAATGAAGTGAACAGTGAAAATCAAGCAAAATGAGGAAAGAAGATAAATGACTTGGCTACCTAAAATTATAGGAATTTCAGTTCTAAACATAGTTAGAAATGAGTGACACCAAAGTTACTGTAGATAAATTTTAATATACCTTACTTGGTGCTTATGATCACGTTCCAATCTTCCTGTTTAGGCAACAATTGGAAACACGTTGTTTAGGTGCTGGGGCTGGAACAATGAAGTCAGTGTTTTTGACTTGCGTACCGTTACGTGGAGCACGCCTGAGACTCGGGTGAGTAAAACGACAATTTGCTGTCTGATTAGAATTTCCCTAGCGTGTCTAGTATTGTGCAGACTTTCTGTATTATATTCCCATTTAC